GAGAAGAGAGAGAGGAGAAGAGAGAACAATGGTGAGAGAAGAGTCGAGTACGAGAGGATAGAGGAGAGAGAGAGAGAGAGGAGAGAGGAGAGAAGAGAGAGAGGTGAGAGGAGAGACGGAGAGAGATGTGAGTGAGAGACGAGAGAAGAGAGGCAGAGGACAGAGACGAGAGAGAGAGAGAGAGAGAAGAGGAGAGAGAGAGGAGGAGAGAGAGACGGAGAGGAAGAAGAGAGAGGAGAGGAGAGAGAGAGAGAGATGAGAGGATGAGAGATAGGAGAGAGAGAGAGAGAGAGAGGAGGAGGAGGAAGAAGAAGAGAGGAGAGAGGAGAAGAGAGAGAGAAGCGAGGAGGGAGGGAAGAGAGAAGAGAGGATGGGAGGGGAGAGAAGATGACCAGGAGAAGAGGGGAAGGGGGTGGGGGAGGAGGAGAAGAGAGATGAGAGGAGAAGGAGAATAGAGAGAGAGAAGAGGGAAGAGAAGAGAGGAGAGAGAGAGAGAGAGAGAGAGGAGAGAGAAGAGGGGACGGAGGAGAGGAGAGAGAGAGACGAGAGAGAGAGAGAGAGAGAGAGAGACGAGGAGGAGGAGAGAGAGAGAGAAGAGAGAGAGAGAAGAGGAGGGAGAGAGAGACGAGGGAGAGAGAGAGGAGGTGAGGAGAGAGAGGGAGGAGAGAGAGAGAGAGAGAGAGAGGAGAGAGAGAGAGAGAGAGAGAGAGAGAGAGAGAGGAGAGAGAGAGAGAGAGAGAGAGAGGAGAGAGAGAGAGAGAGAGAGAGCAGAGAGAGAGAGAGAGAGAGAGAAGAGAGAGAGAGAGAGAGAGAGAGAGAGAGAGAGAGAGAGAGAGAGAGAGAGAGAGAGAGAGAGAGAGAGAGAGAGAGAGAGAGAGAAAGAAGAGGAGAGAGGGAGAGAGAAGACAGAGAGAGAGAGAGGAGAGAGGAGGGAGAGAGAGAGAGAGAAAGAAAGAGAAAGAGAGAGGGAGAGACAAAAAAGAGACCAAATAAAAAAAAGAGAAACTAAACCAGACAGACAGACAAAGAGAAAGAGAGAGGATAAAGACAAGGAAAATGAAGGAATAAAAACAATAAGAAAACACAGCAAACCCATACAATAATACGACTCTAGAATTTCCCCCCCCCCAAAAAAAAAAAAAAAAAAAAAATCCAAAATATTTTTAAAGTTCAGCTTAAAGACGTTCAAAGTCCTTAAAGGTGGAAGTCTTAGGTGCGAGAAGAAAAGGAGAATGGAGGGGGGGGGAGGGGATTACAGGAAAAGGAAATATAGTGATAGAGAGAGACAGAGACAGATAGAGAGGGAGGGAGAGAGAGGGAGAGAGAGAGAGAGAGAGAGAGAGAGAGAGAGAGAGAGAGAGAGAGACAGACAGACAGACAGACAGACAGAGAGGGAGGGAGAGAGATAAATAGAGAGAGAAAGAGAGAGAGGGAGTGGAGAAAAAATGAAAGAGAAGGAGAGAGCGATAAATTGCAAGATAGAGAGAGGAGTGAGAGTGATGAATAGCAAGAGAGAGGGAGACAAGTATTAAGAAAGAGGGATAAATCGAGAGAGAGAGAGGGGTGGGGAAGAAATGAAAGAGAAGGAGAGAGCAATAAATAGGAAGGTAGAGAAAGGAGAGAGAGTGATAAATGGCAAGAGAGGAGACAAGCAACAAGAAAGAGATAGAGAAACAGACAGAGAGAGAGATTGGTACATGGCAAGAGAGAGAAAGAGAGAGGGAGAGAAAGATTTAAAACAAAGAAAAGGAACGGATGAGAAATACAAAAATAGATATACTAGATAAACACCTACATATATATATTCAGATAGAGAGATAATCAGATATATGAACAGAACACACACAGTTTTTCCTTTTGCTCATTATCTAATAGTGTCCTTCACCAAGCATTGCCCTTCCTTCCGCACCTCCTGACGCCTTCCCTCCGCCCCCAGCATGCTGTACGCGGCGCGGGTGCTGCTCTTCGCCAACTCGGCCGTGAACCCCATCCTGTACAACCTGACGTCGACCAAGTTCCGCGAGGCCTTCCTCAAGCTGCTGCGCAACGAGCACCGCCGCCGCCGCCACCTCAGCCGCCAGTCCACCTTCAACACCACCGGCACCTCCATGTCCAACGGGCGCAGCGGCTCCTCGCGCACCATGCCCACGGAGGTGGCCACCATCAGGGAGCACCCGGCGCGCGTGGCGCTGGCCCGCTGGGGGCGCCACGCCTCGCTCGACGAGTTCCCGGCGGCGCCGCGGGCCGCCATGGCGCGCTACGGCCGCCAGAGCAGCTTCGCCGGCACGCACTGGTTCCCGCCCGCCGGCGGCAGCGCCTCCTCCAGCGCCGCCTGCAGCCGCCAGAACAGTCGCGCCGGCGAGAGCGGCGCCATCAGCCCCGGCGAGGCGAGGCGGTGCCTGGAGGGCGAGAAGCGGCCCTCGGGCGAGGGCCGGCGCCTGCTGGAGGGCGAGAAGACCCTCCAGCAGAGCATGATCGAGGAGGAGCGGCCGCGCGGCGGCGGCCACCTGGCGCGGACGGAGAGCATGCGCCGCATGCGGGAGCGCAGGATCGACACGGAGATGGACGACCTTCTGTCGGAGCGGCCGAGCGACGGCCCGCCCACGCCCTCGGCCACGCCCACGTCCGCCGAGACCGTCTTCAGGCTGGAGAGCGAGCGGTCACGTGACCCCGACGACGGCGACGACGCAGAAAACGGGAAACCGACCACAGAAAACGGCGAGCAAGCCAAAGAAAACGGGGGCGGCGCGGGGGCGAGGCCGGCGAAGGAGCCCGGCAGAAACGTCCTCTTTTGCGAGAGTCTAAGTACAAAAGTCAGTCTAGTTTGAAGGAATTCTTATATCCGCCAATTGGGCATTAGGGTTCGGTTCCTCCCGAGACAACAGGCGCGACAGAAAGACGAAGAGAGAGAGAGAGAGAGAGAGAGAGGAGAGAGAAAGGGAGAGGATAACGTCACATACATACAGCTACCTCTCTCTTAAAACCATATGAGATCCTTATTCAGAAAATAAATAAATACAAACAACCTGACACCCCTAAGAGAAAAAAAATCCTACATTTCACTTTCTCTTTCCTTTCATTTTCTTTCTCTCTTACTTTTTCTTCAAGGTTCAACAAGACATAATTTATACTCTGGGTGTTTGTGACTAAGTGTCTGTATCCGCCATAAAAAAAAAAATTACGTGTGTATTTCGTGTTTCAACTAAAAACAAAATAAAACATACGGTTATTAATATATTCTATCCATGTTTTGCTAATATATACTGGTGTTAATTTTACGACAGTAGACACTTAATAATATTCATTACCAAATGATGTTGTAAAGCTGTTTAATATAATAATGAACGATTCATGATAACATTAAGTTTATAGCTGAAATAAAATGATTAATATATGTCTTTGTACAGAGTGAAATTTGATGTAATAAAATGAAGCGACTTTTTAAAAGATATTGATGTGTATATATACGGTTTATATAGAATTTTTATTTCTTGCTCTTTCGTTCCAAGTCAAAAATTATAGATCAGAATATAAACATATAT